CCGCAACATTGCCGCCGTTGCGCTGCAGGTCCCACATGATCTCACGATGGCTGAGCTGGGGGAACATCTGGGCGATCTGCTCGACCTGGGCCGGGTCGACCCCGCCGCGCGTCCGACTGCGGCCGCTTCCGGGGCCGGCATCGCCGTCGCGGTTGAGGAACCATCGCAGCACGAAGAAGGAGACCACGGCGAGGGTGAGGAGAGAGGGGATGTTCAGGGACGGCTCTTCGTCGGGCATTGTGGCGGGAGGGGGAGGGCGATGTGACGAGTCAGAGAAAGGAGCGTCGATCGGGCAGGAGGGCGCGACTCGGAAGGAGAGTGTCTGACCGCCTCGGGGAGTCGGAGAGGTGGTGATGGGGTCGGGGTGAGCTGGAGATGCGGGTTGGGATGGCGAGCGATGAGGATGCCGCGGCAGTTGGGGAGCGGCGAGGTGGCGGTGGGACGCTCGGGATCGGGGCGGACGGTGCCGGCACTTGTGGCCGAGGGCAGCCAGGCACAGGACGGAGATGTCCAGAGGGGAGAATGGGGACAGCAGGGCTTGGTGCTGAGTACTTGACAGGCACTAGTCGCACAAGTGATGGAGGAGTATGTAGCCGGAGGACAGAAGAAGCAGGTGGAAGTGGAGAAGAGGAGTCGCAGCCTCGAGGGGACGTTTATCTAAGCCAGCCTTGCCCGCGGCCCCCCTGAGCGCTTCCGAATACGAGACACTGTGACCCTACCCTCTACAGCACAACTCCACCCCGTTGACCGTAGAAAGAACCACTATCATCAACATATGTCATAAGTCACAGCAGAATCATCCAAATTCATGTACATCATCCGAAAACACCCCGTCCCAAGCCCCATAGCCGGTCACAACGCTCCTGTCCCAGTGTCCAACTAGAAAGACCAATGCACCAAGCAAATATGGACAAAAACGAAGAAGAAAGCTCCATCCGACATCTACCGCAGGTCCGCCGGCGTCAGCGCCTGCACCACACTCGTGCCCTCGCTGAACCGCGTCCGGAAGATCCGGTTGGCGTTCTGGAACATGCCGTCCTTCAGCGACACGATGATGAACTGCGAGCCCTTGAACCGCGACTTGATCAGACGTCCGATGTTCTGCGTGTGCGACAGATCCAGCGCGGCGTCGACCTCGTCCAGAATGTACATCGGGGCGGGCTTGAACTGTAGAAGCGCCATGATGAGGGAGAGCGCGATGAGAGATCTATACACGTTAGCCCAGTGTGCAGGAATAACCCATCGGAGGCTCACGTACCGTTGTCCACCACTCAGTTCGGTCAGACTCTGTTTCCAAACCTTACCCAGCGACACCTTGACCTCCAGGCCCTCGGTGATGTCCTTGCCCTCCGGAGGATCCAGCTTGGCAAAACTGCCAGGGAGCAGGTCGGCGAAGATCTGTCCAAAGTCGGCCGTGACCTTGGTCCACGTCTTGTGAAGAGCCTCCTTCTTGTACTCGTTCAGGTTGATGATCGTCTCTTCGATCTTGCTCTTGTCGCGGATCACGGTCTTCATCATGTTCTTCAGCGCAGCCTCCTTCTTCTCCACGCTGTCGATCATGTTCATGACCTTGGGGTTGATCTTCTTCTTCATGCCCTGGAATCGCTCCGTCACATTGCGCAGGGTCGACTTGCACTCCGCAATGTTCTGGTTCTTGAAGTCGTAGGCTGTGTTGGGGCGGCCAAAGTTTTCCTTCTCGTCGGCGATCCATTCGTGTTCCTGCTCCATATGCGACACCGTCTGCGCTGCGGCTTGCTGTTCTTTCTGCAGCTTCTCCAGCTGGTGCCCGAGCTTCTGCATTTCCAAGCCACCTTCCGTGGCCTGGGAGTTCTTCAGCTGCTTGGTCTCCTCCAGCTCCCGTATCTCGTCGTCGAAGCCCGTCAACTTGGCTCGCTCATCATCCAGATGAGCCTGGGCGATGTCATGGGCATCCTTCGGAATGTTAGCGATCAGTGCTATCTCCAATTCGACGATTTCATACCTTGATCCGAGCTTGTTCCCGTTTCAGCCCTTGGATTTCTTCCACCTGGGCCTTCAAGGTGTTTTCGGCCTCGGCGCTCTGCTCCTCTGCGGCCGACAGATCGCTGCCAACCTGCTCCAGCTCCAACCGAGAGTTCTGGAGCTCCTTCTGCAGAGTCTTCACTGAATTAGAATTCTGGGCGAGACTCTTCTTCAAAGAGTCCAGAGAATCCTGCAGTTCTGCGAGTTTGCTGTCCTTGTTGTTGTTGAACTCACTCATGTCCTTCTCGATCCGTTTGATATCCTTGGATGCTTCACTCTGGCGAGCCTTTGCGTCGGAAATGTCCTTCTTCAGCTGCTCGATATTCGCTTTCATTTCTTCAACCGCTTGGATGATCTGCTCCAGTCAGCTTGGGCTCTTCTACATTCTAACTGGAACTTACCGAGGACGACGAGTTGCCACCAATCTGCTCCTCCGTGAGCTTGATCTCGTGGGTCTTAAGGTCCAGCTCCTGCTTGATCGTACGTGCCGCGTCAAGCTTCTTCTTCTCCTTCCTCATGGTCTCCGCCACGGTGGCCAGCTGCCGCTCCTTGGTCCGGATTTCCCTGGTAATCTCGTTGAACTTCTGCAGGGTGACAAGCACACCGCTCGAATTGGGCGCGCTACCACCAGACAGGGTACCGGACGGGTCGTAGACATCGCCCTCGAGCGTCACACTCTTGATCCGAACAGAGGGGTCGAAAGTGACCTTCTTCGCAGTGTCCGCATCATTGCAGATCAAGGTGTTGCCGAAGACGTAGTTCATTGCCGCCGTGATCTCGTCGTCATATCCGATGAGCGACAGGGCAAGATCAACCTTTCCAGGTGCAATCCTCTGCGCCGCTCCGATCTTCTCGGCGGATGCAACAAAGGACGAGATCTTGTTGAGGGGAATGATAGTCACACGCTTCTTCAGCCGTCCGTTCTGGAGCAGCTGCGTACCGGTTTCGGCACTGTCCACAACGACGTTGTACAGACGCCCACCGGCACAGATCTCCAGGGCCGTGGCGGCTTGAAGCTTATCCTTATCCAGAGAAAAGAGCTGGGCGACCAGACCCTTGACCTTAGACCGGTCGAAGTGGGGATGGGGGTCGGTGTAGTTGAAGTCCACATTTGCGACCTTTCTCTGTAGACCATCGGCTCTCTGGCGCAGCTCGCGGATCTCCTTCTGGAGTTCGGTTTGCTCCCGGATGAGCTGTTCCTCCCGCCCCGGCTCGAATCCCAGCTTCGAGAGCTCGGATTCAAGCTTCTTGGCCTGGGACTTCAATCCCTCCAGCTCATTTAGGAGACCCGAGTTTTGCTCCTTCGCCTTCTTGGCCCTAGGCTCCTCTTCTTTGATTCGCTTTTCCAGGTTGGCAATCTTAAGCTTGGCCTGCTCTTGCTCGGTAGCGGACGTGTTGGCGCGGTTACGGGCGTCCTGGAGCTGGCCCTGGTAACCACTTTCCTGGCCTTCTTTCGAAGCGACACCGGTCTGCAGGGTCTGGAGCAACTCCTCTTTCTGTTCAACTTCGGCCGTCTGGGCATCCAGCTCCGCTTTTGCGGCATCGTATTCTGCTTGGAGCTTGTCGTAGATCTTCTTCTTCTCCTTGAGGGCCTTTTCCAGGTCGCTCACCGTCTTCTGAACCTCCTTCTGCTTGTCCTTCTCTTCAGCGATGCTCGCGTTCTTCAGGTCGAAAACGGTCGTCAAGCGAACGAGGTCATGCGAATGAGCCTTTACTTCATCCTCCAGGGCCTGGAATTTTCCTCCCTTCCGTAGCTCCTTATCACGAGCCGCCCTCACGCGCTTCATATCCTCTTCCAAATGAGCTATTTCGCTCTTGAGCTTGGTCGCGTTCTCTTCGAGGGACTCCACCCTTTGTCTCTTGCGCTCGCATTCTTCGCCCGTGACCCGTAGCCGTTCATTGCCTCTCAGGTAGTCGTGAGAAACAACCAGGCGAGTCAAGCGCTCCAAGTCATTCTGGGTTTGCTGGAAATCAAGGAAAGCACGCTTTTCGGATCTCAGCTTCTCCAGCTTGGGCTCGATCTCTTCCTTGAGCAGTTCCTCAATTTCACGCAACTTCAATTCCTTCTTGCTCATCGTCTTCACGGCCTTCTCCCTCCTATCCTCGAACATCCGTGTACCCGCCGCTTCCTCGATCATAGACAGAATTTCCACCGGCTTCATGTTCAGCACCTTCGTAATCCGACCTTGCATAATGAGGAAATTCGGGTTGTTGATGTTGAGTTGGACACTCTGGAACAGGTTTTGCACCGTCTGCTGCTGCGCACGGTGGCCATTGATTAGGTACTTGCTGGTTCCGCCGAGGACGATCTGTCGAGTCACCGAGATGGTCGCATACTCTTCGAAACCGATGGGCGATTTGGCCGTGTCGCGGTTATCGAAGACAATGGTCACACTGGCCTTGGTGACACCGGCTTGGCCACGCTTGTAGATGAGATCTTGGAGGTTTTGCGCGCGAACGGTGGACATGTTCGTGATACCGAGGACGAAACAGATGGCATCGAGGATGTTGGATTTACCACTGCCGTTAAGGCCAGTGATGGAGTTGAAGGATTCGTCCCTACAGAGAAGGCGTGGTCAGTATGCTATCGGGGATCTCCTGCAGGGGAATTGTCAAGCAGCGCATACCATCCCGAGATAACCGTACGCACGGCGTACGATTTGAAGCCCTGTGGGTGAAGTCAACAATCGCTCGGTTCCGGACACTCCGGACAGGAGTACTCACGTCAATGATAATCTCCGTAATCCTCATGGTTGCGACTCCGGTGCAGCGCCAACAACTAGAGAATCAGGGGCATGGGCGATGGACGGAGGGGCGTGGGCGGATTGATGGGCGTCCGGGGAGTGTTTTGGCGGGCGGTGTTTTGCCTATCATGTGTTTACGGTTTGCTGCTTTGGGGTTGGTGCGGGATGATGCTCATGTAATCATGGAGGGGTGTGCGATAGTGGTAGTTGATTTTGGCTTGTCTAGCGCTAAGTTGTACTGTACTCCATACACTCGTCTGGGTGGCGCAATTGGTAAGCTCCATTTACTTAAATAATCCAACAATCCAGTTACTAATTAGATCTGAAGGTTAGCGCGTACGACTGTTAATCGTGAGGTTGAGAGTTCGATCCTCTCCCTGGACGCTTCTTTTTTTCTTTTTGTCCTTTACTGCCTCGGGCATTGAATAGGAGGTTATTGATTGACTTTCTCTTCTTCTTTTTTGTTTATTCTTTTACGAATACCCTGCTCCTGCTCAATTACCCTGTGTGCATTGGGAGGACTACAATTATGGCAGCAAAGATAACTGGCCTCCTTACAAAGCACTTGCCGGTTGCAGCGCCAAACATCCGTCTAGCTATTTGCTTTTCTAGGTAAATATTGTGCAAGATGGATAGGAAATGTGTTTGTCTGGGTCACGGCCATGTGTCAGCCGATATTCTAAGCGCCCTTCATCAGTCATGTCTTGATGCACGATTAAATGGGCAACTCCCTCATCCCCCCGCCCCCACTCGCGGCATACCTTATCTGGCGGCCCACGAGTATCCTGGAGCTATCAAATTGTACAATGATCGCTATATTTGCAGAGCTGTGCGAAATTAAGTTTTTGTGGATAATTTCCAGTTGCCATCTACTAGTAGTATGTCCAGTGTCCGGGCTTCCATGGATTTGGTTTGTTTGAGGGCATTCAATCCGACTCCGCAATCTATATACTGACAGTAATCTCGGGTACGCCGACACACCAATCGAGGTCATCTTCCACGACAAAGTCCCATGCAAATACTACTAGTACGGCCCGGGCCCAAGATATGCCTGCTAAGAGCTTCCTACACAGACTGGCATAGGATAATTGGTAGAACGTCCGTGGCTGTATCTATCACACAGCTCGTCAACCATATGATGTTTCTCCGGACTAGACCCGTCAAGAAAACTTACCAAGCTTCCATCAGCACCATGTGTTCACTTCTGGCCTCTGCGGTGACCCTGCTACTTTAACTAGACAGCCATTTTTAGATTCCAGGGACAAATAGATGACAATTTGTAGGTATTTTCCTATAGCCCTGCAATAGTCAGTTTCTCTATTTATACCGTTCATCGAAGAATCCATTGAGACATGCCTTCCATTTGTAGTATATCGAATGATTTGGTAAGTCAGCCCAGTCCTCGAAGATCAGTCACTATCATACCCCCACCCGGATTCATCCAACCCAGTCGAACCTGAAGCATAGTGCTTGTGATGTATACAAGTTCAGCTGTCGGGTGGTTGAAAATATATGTCAGTTGTCGGCGGACTGAACTCTCGAAACTTTCGGCGCCGCTATCACATCTTGTCTGGGTGGCGCAATTGGTAAGCTCATCCTTCAATCCCATTCATCCTCAACATAATCCTAATTCATTCTAAAGGTTAGCGCGTACGACTGTTAATCGTGAGGTTGAGAGTTCGATCCTCTCCCTGGACGTTTCTTTTTGCACTTTTTTTTGCTTGACCTGACGGTGAGTATCCACTCCGAGCCCGGTTAACTGGTTGAGGGAGGTATAGAGCCTTGAAGGCATGGTAATCAAGGACATTTTTTTGCTTGCGCGAGTCAGTGGTAGCGCTAGGGTTGGCTACCTGGCTGTCACAAGTCATAACGTTAATCTTCAAGGTTTCTCGGATATTGCTTCGCGTCTGTGCGCTTCAGGCTAGATAGCTTTGGTAATCGGTCCATTCCCAGTATTGATCTTGGGGTGCCATAATGGGGGAGATGAACATGGGGGGTGGGTATCCGCTCTGTAGAAATCGCAGGATTCGTCTGGCAGTTGCAATATTGAGCGTAGGTTGTGAATTTTTGCATAAAATTGGGCGATCTGGTGGTTCACTTACTAGCTAGTACCTCCAAGTACCTCTGTAGCGTCGGATGTACTTGCAGGTACTTACATTTTGCCGACACCGAGGCATCTATGTAGAACAAGCCCAACCCATGCATTACAGGTAGTACGGTGTCTTAAAATCCAATCACTCAAATTCATTAAAAACAGTAGCACCGACTAAATCCAATACACATCAAAAAAAATTACATGAGCATATCTAATATAGGCCAGTTTCATAGAAGTCACTTATTGTCAAAATGTCGACCCAGCCTAGCCGCAAGCCATTTCCGACGGCAGCATTGGTTTGCACGCCTTGATATAGCAAACCCGCTGCCCAAAACCCATCCACATGTCTGGGTGGCGCAATTGGTAAGCTCCACTTACTTAAATAATCCAACAATCCAGTTACTAATTAGATCTAAAGGTTAGCGCGTACGACTGTTAATCGTGAGGTTGAGAGTTCGATCCTCTCCCTGGACGTATCTTTTTGCTTTTTCATTTCTTATGTATGGTTGTGGGCGTTGGTCGTGATAAAACCAAAAGCGGGCAGGCACTACTATAACCCGTCTGGGTGGCGCAATTGGTAAGTTCCGCATTAGGTGTCTTTCTGACCCAACCAGTTACTAATTCATCATTAAGGTTAGCGCGTACGACTGTTAATCGTGAGGTTGAGAGTTCGATCCTCTCCCTGGACGTTGTTTTTGCTGTTTTTGTTTTCTGGTGATTGATTGCCTGCGGGGTGTGTTTTTGCTGTGTCCGTGGGGTGTCTTGTCTATGTCTCCCCGTGTGCTAGGGCCTTCGGTATATCCATTCGCCCGGTCTCAAATTGTTTTTTTGAGCTAGCTTCTGATCCCTGTCATTATTTGAAAGTAGGGTAGAGTCGCTCTCCACAGTCTGAATTGTAGAGTCAATGGCTTCTAGCAAGCTTCAATTCGAGTTCTGTCGCCATACCGTGCGATAGGTCCGCTAGCGGCAATAGTATACCGTCCTTGGCTGCTAACTTGGAACCATGTCTCCCCTGTGCAATTGCCCTCGAACTTATGTGAGAGCATCTGCTAGTCAACACACTCAACTATCCAATCTTAGTGTACCACCGCTAGTGTCATCCAGGAATACCCTGGTTTCGAGTCCCTTCAACGAATAGGCTGTAACACAGAAATCTGCGTCCATGTCTCTATTCGAGGAATGACAACGGAGTAGATAGCAGGTTACTAGTAGGCCACTCTCTATACCAATATGGAGGAAGTTGTTACTATTCAATGTATTGAGCACTATGCAATAGGCGGTGGACAACTGGTCATGAAGCTACTAGTAGCATAGGCTGCTGGCTCATGCGTGAGTCTTTCCTGCGCCTCAAAGCGGTGTCAGTCGGTTGGGCTCGGACATTCCTCGCCTGGAAGACCTCGAATTGATTGATGTCTCTGGCGCAGGCTCATTCTGATATTCCTAGCTCTTGCAACGGATCTACAGCATTTACAATACTAGTAAAGTTATTCTATCATCATATCCAGCCAGGCAAGGCAGGCAAAAGCTCCCAACCAACACCCCCCCAAACCCACCGCTCTCTGGTACCAATACCCCATCTACATAGACAAAAAAAACACCATAACCGAATAAAATCATACCAAGCTTTAGCAATATCTCACGTCGAGATAGCATAGACAGAAGAAGACAAAGTACTGTAGTAGTAAGGAAGTAAACGTAGCGTCATACCCACCCTAGTAAACATTAGCGCCAACCCAAAACCACCCCTAATAAAGCGTGCGCTAACCAAAACGAACAACTACTAGTCTGGGTGGCGCAATTGGTAAGCTCTTCCTTCCTACCCACACAACCACCAACCATGTACTAATTTGTGCCAAAGGTTAGCGCGTACGACTGTTAATCGTGAGGTTGAGAGTTCGATCCTCTCCCTGGACGCTTCTTTTTTCTTTTCTTTTTTTATTCGATCACCTTCCATCTTTATTTCTTCTTTTATGCTTTTTTTTTTTTTTTTTTTTTTTTTTCCCTTTTGGTTTCAAGGGGGAGTGGTGACGTATACATTGTTTGTCTGTCAGGGCGGTCGTATAGCATGGCTTGCTGCGGATGAAGTCACAGCGAGCTATCTGGGAGCGCTGAGTCCGATTTTTCGAGTGTAAGAAATGCTTTGAGTCAAAGGTATCAGATAAAGGGTCATTTGTAACTTGGGTTCGATACTGGTGGTGGCCGTCATCAGTGAGATTTCACTTTCTACAGCTCAGTTCATGCAGTGCCGTCAAAGGCATCATATACCGGTATAACCGACAAGACAGGAAATACGCAATACTACCCATGCGTGTCTGCAGTAGGAACAGTTTACAGAGATAAGAGCTTATAATATGATTGTCTACCACGCATGATCGGTCATCGAAGTCATTCAATTCAGACAATGTCCTGCTTTCCCGGACAGACCACTAAAGCTTAGAAACACCCGCTGCTCGGCAGTACGGCAACACCTGAACAACCATCTGGAAACCGGCAGTGAACCTAACGCCGTTGCTGATCCCACCCCGTGTTCTCCTCGGACATTCATGACGCGTGCTGCGGGATTCCAACACGAGCAAGCCCCCGGTTGGGGTCCATTCGGTTATCCAGATCCTCGTAGCGAAGGATGAACTCACGCTGCCACACAGGTTAGCTGGGACTGAAAGACGACGAAAGAAAACGTACCCGAATCTTCTTCCAGCTAGCAGGGTCCCACAGCAGATACACGCCCCTCTCGCTCACGCCGCGCTCCACATCAACAGGCCCGGGATACGTCTCGTCGCGCGTCAGCCAGCACCGCTCGATCTTGTGGTATCTCCACTTCCGACCCATCAGCTCCTCGGCCACGACTTCTTGCAATATATCTCTAGGCATGCTGTAGAAGATGTAAAATAGTGTCTCGTCACTGAAGCTGGGGATCCGCGACTGCAGAGGCTGGACGTTGGCGACACTGTAGCAGGACGGCAGAGCAAAGTCCTGCTCCAGAGGAGCACCCGACATAGACGCAACGAATGGCGAAGCGAACGACGTATGTAGGGGTCTAAAGGACCGTGTTAGCAAGCCCTCAAAAGACAGGCGCGTGGAACGTACTCCGGTTGATTCAAGTCCAGGCCCAACGTCATCAGGTCCTGGCCGACGGCGAGACTCGAGACATCCGCATTGTCGCTGTGGATCATCCGCAGCAAACCCGCCAGCCCGAACTTGTCCAGCTCGCTCATCTCAGCCAGTGGTAATTGATCAGAACTTTGCGTAGCCCCCGCAGCCTCTTTCGCGGCAGCAGGGAAGCCTGGCGGTCGCATCAGGTGTTGTGGCTCGCTGTAAGCACCCGCGTTCGCTATTAAGCCGCTACTTAACTCCTGCGCCCGACTCAGTAACGGTTCGAAGAAACTGCCGACGTCACATCGCTCTTACCTCCTTTTCTTGCCCCGGGACTCGGCTAGACCCCTGATTCACTGGCGATCTCGACGCTTCGATCCCTACACAGCAGTATTAGTTCGACCCGACTAATGTTTCGCCCAGACTTCACATACCCCCTGAGCTTGCCGTGACGGGCGACATTATCCTCTCTTGTCCGTTGACCGATGCGGCGACGATGCTGCGATTCTGGGCCGGCTGAGCCTGACTCACGCCCGCGAACGGAAGACCACCGCTGTAGCTCCCAAGTCCTGTACTTTGCATCAACGACCCTCTCCTATCCTGACCGAGTTCCGTGGGGACATTACGTCCGAGCGGGGGAAATTCCTCAATGTTTCCTGTCTGCGGTTGTCCTCCCGCGCCTAATTGGCCACTGATGCCTTGCCCGCCGTTCCGGAAGTCGTCCAAGCGATTCGCAAACTGAGCGCCCGAGGGGAACACGTCTTCGTGCGAGGGTTGCGATGGCGGTTGTGGGAGGTGGGTTTGTGTTTGTGGGGCTCGAGAGGGGGCTTGAGACGTAGCGTGCTGGGGCCTTTGCACCGGAGTCTGCTGCATCGCACGTTGACTGGCGTTCGCCCATACGAGATGGCTAGGATTTTGGGCCTGCGATTGCGGGGGCGCCCCGGACAGCGAGGGGAAGTCTCTGGATGGGGCAACATGGTTTCTCAGCAATAAGCTCGAAGTGTCCCTCAAACGGGCCGACTGCCGACCCGAATCTCCGGGGTAAATGCCACACTCACGATAGATCCAGGGGTGTCGCCGGCTGCGAACCACTGAGACTCTGTGCAAACGTCCCCATCGTTCCAATGTTGCGCTGCTGGGCGCCTTGTATCCCTGGCGTCCCACTCACGGGCAGGTTGAAGTTCCAATTCGCTCCGCTGCCTGTTCCGTCGAGGGTCGTTAGCTTTTCGGGCGATTCTACCAGTCGAAGCCAGACGAAGCCGCACCAAGTTTGCCGTTTGGCAAGCGCGCCGATGCCAACGCCGCATTTCGAGCCTGTGCTTGCTGCTGTGCGGGGAACCCGGACATGCCTCGTAGGGGCTGGGGCCCTGGTCCTAGAAGGTTCGATCAGCGGTCAGCGATGTCGTCCTCACGAGTGAGACGGTCGGAGAGTGGGCAGACGTGGCGACTGCTTCCATCAGAGGCATCGGAGGGGCTGGACGTGGGAGTTGCGAGGTGCTGCGGGCGCCGGTGGAGGTGGATGGGCGAGGGAGCCTGCAATTGAGGCGAGAAGGCACGCCCGACGCGGCCCATGCACCAGCCCGTCTCCGCGGTACACAAAGAAGCTCAGTGGTGATGGAAGCAGCCGAAAGCGTCCAGCGGAGATGTCTGGGGTTGCCGTAGCAAGGCCGGCTGGGAGGGCTGGGGGGGGGGGGAGGGGGTGAAAAGACCAACCTGGCCGATTCATGATGTAGACTTAGTCAAGGAGTAATGTCCGATGCAAGACCAAGACGGAGAAGAGATCCAAAGGAAGCGCGAGTTGGGAGGGCGAAAAAGCGATCGGAAGCAATGAGCAGCCAGGATCTCTGCCCACACTCTGTTGCGCCGGCTTGGAGGTGGAGAGTGGCGCTGCACACGCGCGCTTCCGGCGGCCGCACGGACCCCTAGCCGCCGGCTGGCCTGAAGAATGGGGCATGGGCGTGCGGTGTGCTTGCGGTGCTTGCGGTGTGCTGGAACCTCTCGCCCTTTGTTGCCCGCATCACACGACCGTGACCTGCCCGCGGCGTCCTCGAGGCTGCCGGGCCTTACTTAAGTTCGTCGGCCGGCCGCTGGGGGTCGACGAGGCACTGGGTTCCACGGCGTAGAAACAACAGGAGATGCAGTGCGGAGTAGACACCCGGGTGGTACCATCCTGAACCTGTACGAACTACGAACCACACAGCAACAGTAGTCTACGTCTCCTCTCCCTCTTCTCCGTATTAAGCTCCCTCAAGACCAGCCAGGCGAGAAGACTAGCATCGAGCTCCTCGAGAATTCAAGCCTTCCCCAGCTGCACGGGCGCGGTCCAGGTCGCCCTGTGTCACCCCAGCAGCCCAGCCCAGCCCAGCCCAGCCCAGCCGCCCACGTGACCTAGGCGCCAAAAGTCTCCCGTTTGCTTTTGATCCCGCGGCCGCAGCAGCACCGACTTCCTCCCTACGAGTGAGTCCCGTCGCTTTCGAGGCCATCCTCCCGTCACCATGCACCGTCAGTCGGTTCTACGCCTGGCTCGCCAGGGTGCCAGCCTGCCGCTGGGAGAATTGCCCCCTCCCTACCTCGCCCCGTCCCTCCACTTCTCCCTGAACCGCTCGACCGGCCAGAGCTCGAACTTTTCCTCCACCGCCGTCGCCGCCGGCCGGGGCCGTGATCTGAACAAAACCCGCGGCGTGTCCGCCATCCACCGCACCGGGCCCAAGTTCAAGCTGGGCGCGTCCAAGTACGAATTGCCCACGCCCGTGTCCCCGGACGCCATCGGCAAGCGCGACCCCAACCCGGACCATGGCCTCTGGGGCTTCTTCCCCAAGGACAAGACGGCCCTGAGCACGCCGGCATATGACGTTGCGCACGGTTAGTGGGGGATCTCACCAGGAAGTGACACAGTGATGCTGACGACCGATCGGTAGGCCGCCCGTGGTCCATCCAGGAACTCCGCGAGAAGTCGTGGGATGACCTGCACGCCCTGTGGTGGGTCTGCATCAAGGAGCGCAACCGCATAGCCACCTCCGACCTGGAGAGAACACGACTGAGGGCCGGTTACGGCGAGTGGGAGTCCGGCGAACGGAACCGGGTGGTAAGTTTCCTACCCTATTAGACCTTGGGGTCGTCCCCCAGCGTGGAGGATCATGAGGATCATACTGTGATTGTGCCACTGGGGCCGAATCTGCCCGCTTTTAGCTCACGATGCTAACCGGTGGCCCCTGTCAGATCCGCGTCACGCAAAACGGCATCAAGCACGTTCTCCGCGAGAGATGGTACGCCTGGGAGGACGCCCAGCGCCTCTACGAGAAGGGCTACCGGCCCCAGGAGGAGGAGAGTGAGGCGTTGTCCGAAAAGGCATGAGGCAGGTGAGAGATCGATGCGAGATGTCATCGGGGGGACGGGGTCCCGGACTTGTGTGTATGTAGTATGTAGTATATGTTCAGTGTTTATTTCCCCTTTCTTTGCCAGGTACAGGTCCAGGTTCAGGTACAGGTCCAGGTCCGGATCCACGTAATTTGCCAGCGGGTACTCGGTTTAATTTATGGGGGGATCGATAGGAGCTTCGAGAAGGAAAGAAGCGTCGAGAGAACAGCTGTACCTGACTAAGTACGGAGGAGTATCCGTAGTCCGCACTCTGGGAGTGGGAGTGGGAGTAGGATCCCGATCTGGGCTGTCACCCCCGATAGTGGATTGGCAGATAGTGCCCAATAGTAGGGATCGCCGGGGGGGGAAGGGATAGTGTAATACTACTGAATAAGACGCCCTCGCGACCCGCCCCGCCAGGCCGCGGGCAGTCGAGAGGGGAGCCCGCGTGCGAAAAGGGGCAG